AATTGTCTTTAAATTAAGTGAGGACAAAAGAATTGTTGTTGAAGTTTTAAAAAGGAAAGATTAAAAATATTAATACAATACTTAAATACAGCGATTAATTATAAATTCTTCTGTAGTTTGTTTTTACCTATCGCATATACTCCTTCCTACCTAGTGTGATAAAGGCCCAATCAAGAACCATCCGCAGGAGCGAGCTTAAATGCTAACCGATAGGGCGGCTTTTGAGCTGGCATAATTTCTATATATGATTTATTTTTATTCAAATGTTCTTTTTAGTAAGTACTCTTATTTAAAATAGATGTCACGGTTGTTTTTGTTTTTTTAAGAATTTCCGACTGAAGGAAACATGAAAATAAATCTGTCTAGGGCACATAATACAGAGGATAAAGGAGTTAGTTAGATCCAGTGACAGGACCCAATGAGTGTGAGTTCAATACCCGGTTAAGGCAGTGGAGTACTTGGAGAGCGGAATTAACAGGAGATTACTGATAACTGACATCCATTAAAAACATGGCACGTGGAACTAGAAGAGTCTACCCCAGTGAGCGAAATAAAGGTTTCAGTTCGACATTCCAACAACCTGAAGGAGGCCTGAGCGTACAACGGCCGAAACGTTGTAATAAATATGGCGACAAAGATGATGACAATAGTCCGAATAATGTAAATAGCGACGAAAATAAATACATTAATTCTTTAGAAATTTCTTTGTTTAGGTTACAGATAAGAAACTGAGTACATGTGAGCTTTCGAGAATAAATAGGGGGTGAACATTCTTCAAATGGAGACATAGAACCTGGCTGGGCTGTGTCGCTCGATTTGCCGAATGGTCTAAAAGCAAATCAGATCACAACGGTAGCCTCTACAACAAGAAGGAAATGAAGTTTCGCAACATCCTTTAGAGCACAATTCCTATACTGAGTTTTTTTTCGAGTGCGTAGTCCGGTAGACGTATTATACACTGTTAAAAGATATTTTACAAAATGGGGCGTCTATTAAAAATACTGGTATCCATTAAAAACAACGTTTGAATTTCTAAAAGCTAAATCTTGGACCCCTTGTTCAGAGAAAACTAAAACTAAACACATCATTTGGAATGACTTTAGTGAGTAACGCCTTGCATATTTCTCTTTTCCGGGCAGTTACGGCTTTTCTCCTTTCCGAATAGTTACGTCTTCTTTCGCCGTCAAGACACAATGAAAATAGTCTTTGATCAAGTAGGGAACATTAAAATTTGCTCATAAGAGAAAACAGAAACAGAAAACAGATGCCAATTTGACACGCCTTGTAAGCCTCTGATGTAAAATTAAAGTATGCACAAAAAAGCATTGGATAAATATTTGTTTTTTTTTTATTCAGATAATGACAGTTGGAGGATGAAATGTTTTTGCGCGTCTTTCAGATGATCCGATGTTAATTAGTTCTTTGATGATGTGAGGCTACCGAGGACACCCTATTAATACATCATGGAACATGAACAGGTTTTAGTCGTCACTTGTGCTCCAATAAAGAGTGCCCGGCTAGTGATGCATCCTTCCTGGCCCGATACTTGGTGGTAATAAGAACGCCAAGTTGCTTCACACTGACACACACATTATTAACAAATTAGTATGGTTTATCGATATCTAAAATAAATGCGTATTGAAATGTAAAGGTGTATTTCCTGAATAATGTTATTATATACTGCACACACACAAAAAAAAAACAAGCCAAATTAGTTAAAAAGAAGCAATTTTCTTTAAAGTTAAAAAATTCATATATTATTTAATAGTGACTCTCAAGTATTTATTTTTTTGCTAGGCTTACTAAGACCATACTAGTAGGCCTAGCATAGAAATAATAATACAGGGTTTAGTCAAACTTACGTTAACACTAGTATGAGAGGATGAGTCCAAGTTATTTTAACACTGCTATGAATGGCACGGTGGAGTAGTGGTTAGCGGCACGGATTGAGGAATCGGAGAGCCGAGTTCAAATTCTTGTCGAATCCATTACTTTCGCTTATGTATCTTCTTCCCACTAACTATACTAAACCGGGTTCTATATCTTTGGATGGGAAATGGTCTACCGCGGGAAAAAAATCTGCCTCGTCAGACATATATCGAAAGATACATGATCGCCTAAGCATGTAGCACGGATGGCACATTTTACAAAAATCAGAGGAATCATTTATTCAAAACTGTCTCTACCTGTCCAACAGCACGATTGATGCACAAAAACCAGCGATCAACAGTAGAATTAAGTGCCTTGACACACATTTCACGGGGAATGTTTAATATAACACATTTCTGTGATTCTATGGCAATATTTTTTTTTACTATACACGCGATCTTTTATCATACCCATAACGAGAAATCATAGGGTGGAATTAGCCTAAATTACTTTGCAATTCCAACGGTGACTGCAAATGCTTACTTACAAATGCTGTAAGAGTTTTCCATTGATAACATACCCCTACAAATCAGACGAGGAAGATATTTCCAACAGAATAGTCCACGGTGCTTTTTGCCGATACTGTTCGCGTTTTCTCGATCAAAGTTTTCACAAATGGTTGGATAGATAACGGCGGATCGTTGGTATGGCCTCCACACTCCCCAGATCTGATCCCCTGTTTCTTCTGGTTATGAGGTATGATGCAAGACCGCGTGTATAGGAAAATGGTAGAGACATCGAAAACTCAAGGATAGAATAAAATGTTTCATATCAAACATTCCCAGTGAGATGTGTGTCAAGTTGCACTATTTATCGCTGGTTTTTGTGCATCAATCCTGCTGGTGGAAAAGTGGAAACTGTTCTGCAAATTCTGAATAAATGATTCCCCTCACACTTGTGTTAATATAATTTTAACTCACCCTGTAAGGAAAAAAAATAGTAGCAAATCTTCAATCGCAGCAGCAGATATCTCTATCTATAAAAGGCAGGATGTGTGTATTTGTGTGTAACAAATTCAATTTTCGACGGATTTGCACCAGAATTTACATGCACATGCTTCAAGTTAGTGCAAAGGCCAAGAGCGACGTTGCATTTCCTAACTCCCATCGATAGTATGAATAATCGATTTTTTCATGCTTCTACGGCACTTTTCTTTTAGTTTGCGGACATTTTCTACTGGTCAGAGTGAGAGGTGGCTGCCACGAATAGACAGGAAGATTCTATTGGTCAGCGTGAGAGCCAACAGCTGACTGACACGAATGTTAACTAGCATGCTAGCATGCAAAAAAAAAATCGATAGCTGCATTCGTCACAAGTGGGAACAATTTAAATCTGCATGGCACTTTACTCCAATTAGCTCATTCGCTTCCTTAAACTCAACGTTGATTCTGATTCCGCAGAACTGGGTTGGGTGTAAAAAAGTATTTGTTAACATTCTTTTTTCGTTCAGTTTCTCCAGTTACGAATCCTTTTTTTTAAAGCTGATCGTTTGGTGTTCATTTTGTTGAGTCCTTTTTTCGTAACAGATTTAAAGTTTAGTATAGAGCTTAGAAAAAATTCGCAGTGTTAAATAGACAAGAAGTAAGGCATGTAGCAACATCAGCACGGCAAAGGGCACTCGTTTAAAGGCAAGGAAGGGCAAAAATATTTTAAGTCAAGTGATAGCGATTGCTGTATGAGTCGTACGATTTTTGAATCAAGCACGGGCAACGCCGGGCCATACTGCTAGTAGGTAATAACAGAGAATGTTTCGCAGAGTTCAATCATGTACGAAAAGCGGCAACAGTATCAAAACATACTGAAACACGTTATGGTTAAGGCTACAAATTCTCCAGAGAATATTGTCCTAAAGGACAATATTCTAAAGCATCAATGGATTTGTTCGTGTTTGTTGTTTGGTGATACTGAGTCTATGAACTCGAACTGTTAGTAAGAAGTATTAAAAGAACTATTTGAATTCCTGAGCAAGAACAATTAGTAAACAGTACTAAAAGAAATAGTTGAATCCATGGAATCTAAACAATTGGTAAGAAGTACTAAAAGAACTATTTGAATCCCTGAGCAAGAACAATTAGTAAACAGTACTAAAAGAACTAGTTGAATCCCTGGACTCGAACAATTACTAAACAGTACTAAAAAAACTAGTTGATCCCTGGTCTCGAACAATAAGTAAGCAGTACTAAAAGAACTAGCGAAATCCCTGGACTTGAAAAATTAGTAAGCAGTACTTAAAGCACTATTTGAATCCATCGACTCGAACAATTAGTAAACAGTACTAAAAAAACTAGTTGATCTATGAACTTGAATAATTAGTAAGCCGTACTAAAAGAACTAGCTGAATCCCTGGACTCGAACAATTAATAAACAGTACTAAATCAACTAGTTGATCCATGGACTCGAACAATTAGTAAGCCGTACTAAAAGAACAAGTTGAATTCCTGGACTCGAACAATTAGGAAGCAGTACTAAAAAAATTAGTTGAGTCCCTGGACGTAAACAATTAGTAAGCAGTAGTAAAAGAACTAGTTGAATCTCTGAGCAAGAACAATCAGTAAGTACTACTATAAGAACTCATTGATATATCCCTAGAGACGAGCGGTGGAAAGAAAAAACTTACCCACGTAAATTAAATAATATATCAGTTCTAAACTTCTGACCGGTTACCTGAATCAACATACTTGTCGCACGCCGGGGGCACAATGGCAGAAACGTTGCGATGAAAACAAGAGATAGTGACAGTAGACTTCATGTAAATAATGTAAGAAACGCTATCTGCTCGTCGCATAATTTACGAACGGAATTATCAAAAACTGTTCTAAGTTTCAAGTTACAGTGAAAAAAGAAAGATGGCGAGTGGAAGAAAGAGAGTGAATCACTTAACACTGATATTTCTTTGCTGATGTAATACCAAAAAGTGATTCATAATATGAGATCTATAGAGAGGCTTAGGGAAAGTACCTACGCCCTTATCTTCTGACGGTTAAGTGTATCAATTTTTACATTTTATTTTTCCCTTTCCATTAAATAGACTGCAAAGCTAAACCAAGAATGTATACGAAGTTTTCCTTCAGCGCTTTTGATTTCTTTTTTCTTTTATTTCTTCTTTTTTTTCTTGTTCTTTTTTTCTATTTCTTTTTCCTTCCTTCCTTCTTTTTCTTTTTTATATTTCTTTTTCTTTCTTTCTTTCATTCCTTCTTTTTTTTCTTTTTATATTTCTTTTTTCCTTTTCCTTCTTTCTTTCTTTCTTTCTTTCTTTCTTTCTTTCCTTCTTTTTCCTTCCATCTTTCTTTCCTTCCTTCCTTCTTTTTCTTTTTTCTATTTCTTTTTTCTTAATTTTTCCTTCTTTCTTTCCTTCCTTTTTTTCTTTTTTCAATCTTTTTTCGTCTTTCTTTTTCCTTCCTTCCTTCTTTTTTCTATTTCTTTCTTCTTTCTTTCCTTCCTTCTTTTTTCTTTTTCTATTTCTTTTTTCGTCTTTCTTTTTCCTTCCTTCCTTCTTTTTCTTTTTTCTTTCTTTTTCTTTCTTTCTTTCTTTCTTTTTTCTTTCTTTCTTTATTCCTTCTTTTTCATTTTTCTATTTCTTCTTTCTTTTTCCTTCCTTCTTTCTTTCTTTCTTTCCTTCCTTCATTTTCTTTTTTCTATTTCTTTTTTCTTTCTTTCCTTCTTTCTTTTTCTTTTTTCTATTTCTTTTTTCGTCTTTTTTTTTTCCTTCCTTCTTTTTTTCTCTATTTCTTTTTTCTTTCTTTCCTTCCTTCTTTTTTTCTATTACTTTTTCTTTTTCCTTCTTTCTTTCTTTCCTTCCTTCTTTTTCTTTTTTCTATTTCTTTTTCTTTCTTTCTTTCTTTCCTTCTTTTTTTCTTTTTCTCTTTCTTTTTTCGTCTTTCTTTTTCGTTCATTCCTTCTTTTCCTTTTTTCGATTTCTTTTTCTTTTTTCGATTTCTTTCTTTCCTTCCTACTTTTTCTTTTTTCTATTTCTTTTTCTTCTTTCCTTTTCCTTCTTTCTTTCCTTCCTTCTTTTTTCTTTTTCAATCTCTTTTTCTTCTTTCTTTTTCCTTCCTTCCTTCTTTCTTTCTTTGTTTCTTCCATTTTTCTTTCTTCTTTCACTTTCTAACCTAATTCTTTTATCCATCTTTTTATTGATTGAAAAAGGAATACCAATGTATACGCCAAAATGGCTACTTTCTTATTTTGTTCATCCGTTATTCCTTCTTCTCTTCGTCAATCTGTTATATTCTTCCCAATTCGTTTCAAAATAGGAAGAATTTAATTCTTTTTTTTTTATCTCGTAGGGAATACGAATGTTTTTCTTACTCCCGTCTCCAAAAGTTCTAGGTGCAAGAATTACAATCTGCAGACCGATTCGACTCGACGATACATGTCGCGGTTGGATGGTTATCCCATGTACTTAGTAACTGCCACTTAATTATTCATTATCTGAACGTCACCCTGTTAAAATTCGTCTATTACAATATCTGGTGTCATTTTTAAAATTGTTATAATTTTATTACAATCTCATTTATATATTTTTATCATTTTACCCCAACCAAAGACGAAGGGGTTCATGAAAAAGGATGAGGAGACTTTGCTGAGGAGAAAGGACAATAAATATAACAGGATTAAGGAAGACAGATGATGGCGACTGAAATTGCATTTATACTTTTGAAGTATGTAGGTATCAGGGAAGGAATAAACTGGAAGAAAATTCCAAAAGAAAAAGTGCGAGAAAAGGAGCTATTAGAATAGAACTTACGGTTGCATCAAGCTAATTTAACGGTAAAACGATGAAACCTAGTTGCCAATCTCGTAGTCTTTTTAAATTCATGCGGACGAGGTACCGAGTTGTTGCGCTCATCAGCACAACTGCCCTTAAAATACTAATAGAAAAATCAGAGGGAAGCCACGAATAGCAGCGGGGAAATGAAGTTGAGGGCCGATAATTTTAGAGAGCCGTCTCCTATTTACGCCGTGTTCTGTTATAAATCAGCTAGAGGAACCAAATTTAAAAAGTAAATCTCCCCTGTACATCATCAAGTGTGTTCATGTATGTTCAGTTACATTTCAGTTAAATTTTTCCCTGGGGTAAAATTCAATATCTCTTTGTATCTTCTGGCTGGTATATGAGGAATTGGCTATTTTTATTCTCGTTTTCGTCGTTTAACCTATTAATATCCGCTGCTGATGACTCTGGGAGCGTTGGCATTGGGAGTTCTAAACTCCCGATAGATTCACCATTAGAAGCAAAGTCGAAGACGTGAACCTTAGACTAAGAACAACCAACCCAACGACCTTAACGGTGGAAGAAGCAAATGAAGATTACAAATCTTAACTGTTGAACGAGCAAATGAAGAGGGCTACGCATTACGGACATGCTACAGTAGGTGAATTATATCGGAGTCAACGTCAGTCCGCTGCCATTTCCTAACTGGATTCTGCATGTTTTATTCCATATGTACTGCAGAGGAAGGACATGAAATCAAGAGTGTGAGTCACTGCCTGGAAAGTTGGGGTCAAAATCACTTCATCGGCATTTTCTTCTAATCAGATTTTTTTTTTCAACCCGAACCATATCTTGCAATATTAAATAGTGATAGATGAATGGAGAAATTGGAAGCTTCTATTCCTGAACTTGCATCTTGTAGACAAATTTAGCCGTCAACGCCATCATCATTAAGCAAAAAATTAAATTATAAAGGCAACGACGACGATTAAAAGGGGTAGCTCTTATAAAAATAAAAATAAATATCCTTTATCAGGCATTTCTCTCTACAGTATTAATTATAGGAACCCGTTATTAATTATAGGTTGGGAAAAATCCCATCGTGATTATAGTTTTCAGTCTGTAGTTATTCAAGACCCAACGGCTCTAAAAATTATTAGGTTAATAAATAGACATTAGTTTAACTCGCCGAAATGCGCAGACACTATCATCGATAGGTCTGAATTATTCTTTCATGGCCAAATAGCAAACCAACTCATAAATGTTAATAGATATTTGTCATAAGATATGTTTTTCTCGATCACAATATAAAAAATTACTTAGAGTGTCTCCATTAGTCTTTGTGGTTTTTGGTGAAATATTAGAAGTCTAATCATGAATAAAATGTATTTTTTCAAAGAGGGACCTTAAAGGTTGTCACGAAAAACAGAGAAAAATAGTTTCGAAAAACAAATGGAATAAATATTTACTTCCAAAATAATGAAAGCGTCTCATAATTTAATAAATATACAGAAAGCGCTTAAAAATAACGAAAGCCTTAATAATAAAAAAAGAAGAAACCAACGCTCAATAATATCACATATGAACACGGCCACAATGTGCTGACTGTGTTCGGGAATTAAAACATATTTATTGCTATATATGAAAAATATATTCAGGCAAACAAAAATATCCCGATCTACAGGTCATTTGCACAGTTCATACACGCTCTATGTTAAAATATATACGAATTCAAGAATAGTATAATAAAAAGCTTAATCGCAGTGTCATGGCAATTGTTTTCGATGAAACATGTATAAAACAGGGATTGCTGCCCAAATGCACAATTATTAATTTAATTGCGTAGACAGGAATGACTACGGTGTTATTTAGGTACTTTTGGTATGGTACTTGTAAAATGTTACTTTTCTTTTGAATTTCCTGTTTATTTTTAACAAATTCTACACCATCCGTCCAGGGTCTCTGCTGCAATTTCGAAGTTAGTCTTGCAGATTCGACGGTATACACGCATTTGTTTTAAAGAAATGTGCTTCTGAAATGGCACCTGTTCTCTCCAAAATTTACAATAAATGCCTCACTGCTTTTTGCTTTCCAGCCTTTTTTTCCTCTGTATTTCATGATTTGAGAAATCTAGGCAACTATGTGCAGCCTCAAATGTTCCCCCAATTATTCTCTTACTTCATTCTGGCAAATTACTAGAGGCTTTAATCCACGACGAATTGGTTGAACATCTTTCGTCACACGACATCATTTTGAATAAATAATATAGCTTTCGTTTCTACGGATCTACAATATCCGTATGAACGGTCAACACTGAATTTGTCTATCAAGCTTTAGATAAGAACGGCGAAGCTCGGAAGGTAACCCTAGATGTCCCATAGGCCTTCGACAAGATTTGGCATACTGACCTTCGATAAGGTTTGGAACACCGGCCTTTTCTGCAAGTTCAACGGCAACGTTGTCTCTGGACGAATATTTGTCTTAAACCAGTTGTTCCGCATATATATTGTTATGAAGGTCGTATTGAATGAAACGTTTCCCGCTCAATATATATTAATGCAAGGATACCCAAGTCTCTATCTTCGGATCTGCGCCGTTTCTTATCTTCCTCAACGATATTCCGATATCATCAGTTACGAACAAGGTATCTATGCAAATAACACAGCTATTTAATCATGTTTTAGTCATATTGTAATGAAGTTCGTGTTGAATGGACACGCTTCCCGTTCAATTTATATTAATTCAGGGGTACCCCAGCTCTCAATCTTCGGATCTACGCCGTTTCTTATCTTCATCAACGATCTTTCGATATCATCAGTTAGCAACTAATTATCTACGCAGATAACACAGCTATTTAATCATGTCTTAGTAGCAGATCCGATTGGTTCAGTTCGGTTTGTTTTCCGGCTTTTCGACCTTAATGGGTTATTTAATGCCGACAATATTTTATTTCTGGTAATTTTTTCTTCAAAAATTCTTTGCTGGTAATAATATTTTACAGCAATGTATTGCTGGTATTAAAACCTATTTTTACACTTTCATAGTGCTTTGACTCCATTTTTGGGTTGTTTGCCCAAAGCTGGGGCCCTAACAGGTGCTATCACCGCGGGTCAGGGTGGACCCGGGGGACACCAGCAATTAAAAGGTGGTTCCACGCTCCTCAAAACCTCCTGATCAACGGGCCTTGCTGTCGCATGTAGTTTATCGCTTTACCCAGGACACTAGCATATCCGACAAATCCAACAAACTAAAACTGTTAATAGCTCTCGAAAAGGACCTCTATATTTTTTGTTTAATGTGCATGGGTTGACATTGAAGGTTTCCCTTTATCTTCTTTACGCTTTTTTTTTAATTCAGAGTATTCATTCAACTACTGTCACTACCTACAGCTAAGGGGTTCAGAATATGTTTATTCACTTCTCCATTGTCATAAGAATCGTGGCAGAAAATTGAACTAGATTGTTCATTCTAATTTCCTGTTCAGTAACCATTAATATTAAATAATAATGATTTCGACGTCAAAAGAAAAAAAAAAACAAAAAACAAAGATAGTTGTGACATAGAAAAATGTCTGTATAGCGGGTGTAACAGCAGAATTGTTCAAATCATATCACAGTATAAGTGTACATCCCACAAAATGTTTAATATTTAAAAAAAAAGAAACCAATTGGGTTTTTGCCAGATTTTCAGAATAGTGTTCTAAAAACTTAGGAGAATTCCAGTAAGATATCTTTAATCATTTCAAAGATACAACGTTTCAAAGCTTAATCTAAAAATTGGACAATTTTGCTATCACACGATTTTGACAGGGTTTTTCATGATAGCCGCAATCATCAGGCCGCGAATTTTGGATTTTTCCTCGACTATTTATATATATGGGTCAGTGGTGCATTGTGGGTAATCTGTTCTGGGGGTTATTTTTGCGGGAGTGGCTTGTTTATTTATGCATTTCTTTTGGTTAATTTATTTGTTTTTCATTTTCATTTTGTATTATTTATTCTTTTCGTTTTTTGAAGTTTTATTAACGTAGCAAAAAAAAAAAATTGGGGGATTTTCATAGATCGCATATTTAATAGTTAATCTTGGTCTGGGAAGATAATTATGGCTATTTATACGTTCAATGTTTAGATTGCTTACTGTAGTCTGTTCTGTTATTTTAGCGGGGGACATATTTCAATTTATTTATTTGAATTTATTATTTTTACTTGTTTTTGCTTATTTATGCTTAATTTTATTAGTTCTGACGGTTATTTTAACAGGGGTGGTTTGTTATTTTGTTCATTTATTTATTTGGATTAATTTTTATTTGTTTTTTATTTATTTACTTATTCTTTATTTTGTAGATTTTTATTTACTCTACTTAGTTTTCGATTTTGAGTAACGTATTAATGTTT